TTCTGACAGATCTTGTCACTAGGCTCAGCCAAATTAAGAGAGGGATGATTTGTATATAGAAAGAACGTCTGGTTCCTATTGAGTCCAATTCTTTGGCACAGCGTAGAGATGATTGCTATCTATAGGAAGCCCTAGTCATTAGTTGCCAGGGAGAAATGGAAGGTAATACTGGTAGCCCTCTACTTAACGGCTGCCATGGAACCAGAATTTCTGTTGCTAAACAAGGACCTTCCAGATTTTGATCACGTGATGCTGCGAAGGTCGTAAGTGTGAAAAATGGTCCTAAGTCACCTTTTTCCAGTTGTAACATTGGAGCAGTCACTAAATGAAAGGTTGTAAGTTGAGAACTTCCTGTAACGAACACTGTAATGGAGGGGGGCATGTCAGGTAAACATTACCTGTCTGTTCGCTTAACCTGAGAGGCATCTGAGATTCTTCTGGGCCCGACAATTCAGACTCATCTGTTTTCATTTTCTTTCTTCGCGGTGCTTTTTTCGTTCTTTTGCAGTATTTCAACACTTTGGAGAACAGCCTGGTGAATCTTTTCGTTCTTCTCACCACTGCCAAGTAAGACTTGGGTTCTTGAGAAGCCACAATAGAGGGGACGGTGATGGGAGGGCAGAGGAAAACTTGCTACCTTGCTTTTTCCAGCAGCTCGTGTTTCAGCATCTTTATTTGAAAGAGGGTGGAGAAAGTCACCTCTGCTGAATTAAAACAGGGAGAAGTCAGAAAACCCAAAGCAAATCTGTTTTTTGATATTTATTTGGGAAGTGCAAAATTAAATTGTCTTTTTGTCAATCAGTTAATCTTAACTTTGGCCATAGACCAGCATGGAACTCAGAACAATTACTTTACATAAAAATGTTCATAAAAACCAATGGAATAAAATAAGGTAAAGATAAAATTATTGACGTAAATAAGTAAATAAATGGGAATTAAAACGCACAAGCATCCTGTATAAATTGCAGTCAATTTTACAAGGAGTACCGGTAATTAATTTTGAATGAATGAATGAATGAATGAATTATACAAGGGAGCAAAATTAATCAGTTCATTCATTCATTAATTTTGCCTCCTTACATAATGCAACCCTCAATTTTTTTTTCTTAATTTATTGACTTGGTTGGAACTCCTCAAGGCAGCCAACACAATTTAACAAATTAAAACTGTTGATTTATTTTTTTTAACAAATTAAACATCGAAGCTGTTCCCGGTCAGAAGTAGTTTTTTTTGGGACTGGATGCAGCCTTCCCTGGAGTCGGGAGACCGCTTCAAGATCGGTCTCCCGAAAGCATTTTAGAGTAGGCAGATAATAGCTACCTGCCACATCTCAGCGCAGCCGTGACTTTTTGGGGATGGTGTGACTGTCTTCTGGAGAACAGATTTGAATTTTTGTACACAGCCTTTCACCATAAAATCTCCTCTGATTGTCGGTCTAAACGGAGGCGATTATTTGTTGGCTTATTATGTAATGATACGTGGGAAAAACCTTGAGGAACGGGTCCCAGAGACACACCCAAGGGAAGGGTCAGATGGCATAGCCCACAGCTGCATAATGGGTGGAGAAAATGGTTCAAAAGACACCCCCTCTAGTTTCTTGAGATGTAAAGGGGGCAGGAGAAATAAAAGGAGGAGGAACCCTTAGCTGTATAATACCGGTAGGAAGAGACAGGTTATAAAGGAGATGGGGGGAGATTTGTCCTCTTAATCTGGCGAGATTCTCTTAATGTAGCGTTACAATGAAGTAGAATTATCTCTCATCTCATCCTGTTTCCTAGCTGGCCTACCTGCTAAGGGTGACCATTTCTCTTCTCTCTTTCTTTCGGACATAGTTTCCCCGACGTGATGATGCCGTCTTATTCCCGAAACCCGTGGTCCTGTGTCTTTTTCATTGTGTATCTTTCCATCGAGTTGTATTTCATTATGAATTTGGTAAGCACAGCGTCCAACCTTTGGAGTAATGCTTGGTGATTCTTTCTCCTGATTTAAATCTTGGGTCTTTTAGCACCTCCAGCCAGACTGTCTCTTTCATACATCTGTAAGAGAGCCAGTTGGGTCTAGTGGTTAAGGCACTAGACTCAGAAGCAGGAGGCCACGAGTTCTAGTCCCGCCGTAATCATGAAAGCTGACTGGATGACTTTGGGCCAATCACTAAGAGACTGGGAGTTCTAGTTCCCGCCTTAGCGTGAAAGCCAACTGGGTGGCTTTGGGCCAATCACCAGGAGACTCTGATTTCTAGTCCCACCTTAGCCACGAAAGCTAGCTGGGTGACTTCGGGCCAGTCCCTCCTTCTCAAAAACCTCACAGGGTTGTTGTTATGGGGAAAAGAGGAAGAGGGATGCCAGAGCAGCAGTTTCCCAAGTGGACCTAGAGATGGATGCAAGTGTGATCTTATATGGACTGCTTTGATTTGAAGAATGGCCCCTCCCATATTAAGACAGCTCCACATCACTGGAAGAATCGGAGCCAGTGATGGGAGCTTTGACTATTTTATTATTTTATTTCATTTATTTTTTTTAAAAAAATTGCCAGACGACAGACACGTGTTTAATCCCCAAGCGTGTTTAAACTCCGCCTGCCTCCGCCGGAAGTTGGTTGCAAGCTTCCCCTAATATCTCTCCCATTCCTTCCTACCTCCCAGCTTGACTTTTGACACTTCCCTCCTGTCCGTTTAGGCTGCCATGTTCTTGATTCATGCTTCCCGCTTTCTTTCTTTCTTTCTCCTGCAGCTCCTGGCTGTCGTCTTTGATACCTTCAGTGCCGTTGAGAAAATGAAGTTCCGGTCACTCTTGCTTCACAAGCGCATGGCCGTCCAGCACGCCTACCGCCTGCTGGTTAGCAAACAGGTGGGTAGGTGGTCCTGGGTACACATGGAGGGGGGGAGGGTGTCTCCAGGAAGAAAGGTGTGGTGATGAGCTGTGAGGAACAGGAGGAAGAGCTGCAGCAATTGATGGCTGTCGTCCAGTATTTGAGAGGCTGCCCCAAAGAAGAGGCAGTCAAGCTATCCTCCAAAGCACCAGAAGGCAGTATAAGAAAAAAACGGACGGGAACTAATCCAGGAGAGAAGCAACCTAGAACTAAAGAGAAATTTCCTGGCAGTGAGAACAATTAACCAGTGGAACAACCTGCCTCCAGAAGTTGTGGATGCTCCATCACTGGAGGTTTTCAAGAAGAGACTTTTTTTCCAGTGCCGTTGTAACTTCGCTCAGGAAACGAGCGGTTGTCAGTCGAGGACTACTTGCAGTAGCCTGCCCTCTGTACATGCTCTGTGTAACTTCCTTCTTTTGTCTCTAGAGACCCTCTGGGATTGCGTTCAAGCAGTTTGATGGCCTCATGCGCTTCTACGCGCCCCGGATGAACGTTCGGGACCGTTATCTGACTTTCAAAGCACTGAGTCAAAGCAGCAGCCCTTTAATCAGGTAAGGACAAAGATTTTTTTTTTTCTCCTGCCCCATGGAAGAAGCTGGAAAGACTATGAAACTTTCCTTTCCCCCAAACAAACTTCAGCAGAATTAGCCTGCACTGCTGCATTCTAACCACTGTGCCTTTTTTGGGGGGGGGGAGCTCATTTGGGACGTTCCGAGACCCTTGTCACTTTAAACCATCATTAAACGGTCGTTAAGTCGAAGAGTCCCTGTATCTTAAGAAGTTAGCCACATATGGGTTTTTTTAATATATAACAAGTTTTTATTGGTTTTTCCAGTTTTACATTTAAGTGTTTAGAAAGCAGTGTGGTGATTGGGTAGTCAATAGTACAATAACAAAATCTTTAGTAATATCTCAGGTTACATCATCAAAAAATCCCTTCTCTGTTTCCCTTAACATTTGCTATATCGTATTTAAGCTAGTAAATTTATCATTATAATTGTTATAATTATAAAAAAAAGCCACATGTGGTTTTTATGCGTGTGTGGTAGCCTTAACATGTTGTGCAAAGATCGAGTAAAATAGCTTTTTATCGCCCAGCTGAGGGACACGCCTGGGTGCGGGTGTACATGTGTGTCAGGGCTTTATAATAACACAGTGTGATCATCTGGCAGTCTTGTGTGCTAAGCAGTTAACAAATTTTATAGTAAGGATCCTAGGGGACCGCAGTGAAATGTTCTTATAAAAGGAACAAAATCTTTGAAGATTTGCCTCCCTTTTTTTTTTTTTTTTTTTTT